TCAGATAAACTGGGACAAAATTGTTAACAAGGGTCCATGAGCACCAATCAGCAGTCAGGAAACATGACCCCCTATCGCTGATTTCCCTCCACGAAGATCAAGATGTTTGACTTCGAATCAGTGAAAATTAGCAACAAAGCCCAGTCAAACCAGGCCAAAGAATTCCTCTAGGCTTGGTACCCTTCAATCAGCTCAATAAACAGGCACATCGGACTGGACCAAGTGTACACGCCAATGCAACTCAGAGATCAAATGACGCAACACAAAAGGCTACGCTGTGACCTGAGAACGGACCGAAACCGCACTCAGGCTGAAAGGACAAACCCCTCACACCCTCACCCCCGCGCATCAGTTCAACGGCGAACCGAGTGGAATACAGTGAGAACAAGGGGCAAAAATAGTTGGTGGAGACGAGCACATATATATACGAACGGATACAAGCAGAACATTGCCACTTCACAATCGCTGCTGATGTCACCTCGGCTGGTGATGATGCAACGTTTGCAAACAAATTATCAAGCTCTGCGAGCAGGTGAAATGGAAAGTCAGGCGGCGGTGGTGGGTTTTGGACACACGTTCCCCGAGATGGATATTTGGTGATGTTACCACCGGGACACCAAAACAAAAACAGAAGTCTTCAAGAACCGTCAGTTCAATTTGATTCAACCTCAAAAACTGCTTTGTTTGTTTGTTTTAGTCGTTCTAACGGGTAAATGTTCAGTACAAAATCAAAACAAAACACAGGAGAACAAATAAAGCCACGTTTATAAGAAACTAACTGCAGAGACAGGTTCGTGCAACTAATTTTTAAGTTCACGCGTCATCAACCGAGGTCCACTGGGGTCTTCCGGGCAAGGTAGCAGGCATACCTTCCTTAGGCAGACAGTCAATTCAAACACGTCCCTCTGATTCATTTCAAGGGGATTGGATTTTTGCCCAACACTCATCAGCGCATTCAAGTGTGGATTATTTAAACTGTTCGTAAGGGAAAAAAGCAATAATTGAATACCACGGTCACGGCACGGGCTTCGCACTGACGTCAGGATTTGTGTGACTACGGTAGTTATAAGACTCACTGCCCATTTACGAAAGGGCTTGGTGTGGGGAATGGCTGGAGGTCGGGTCGGATTGATATGACGTACGTAGTGTGGGGACTGGACAACTTGTACTCAGGCTGACTTTTGTGCAGTTGGGTTGAGAATTTTTTGCAACGAGAACGCGATTTCAATTTTAAACTTCGTCACTATGTGAAGCCGATGGAAAGCAGTTTCCCGGATTACTTCGGACACTCACAAAGAACCCTTCTTATATGCCTTGTACAAGCGGGCTTATCAAGCACTGAAAACACATTCGTTCAAGTGCGTCTGTATTAACCCAGAGCAGTTCGGTTTTAGAATGTTTTGGCTTACCGAGTAATAATAATGAAAACCAGACCCAAATAAATGTCGGTTCTTTCTTTTCAAGCACAACTCAATAGGGATTGTAAATTATTCACTCGGTCTCGGTTGAATTCTGTCTGTTTAATGAATATCGCTCAGTTCTGTTGGTACGCTCCACTGTAATCGATATGATATTACACATGCTCATTCGCGAAGTCCCACAACTGAACGATGTAAAGGAATCCGAATGTTACCAGAACGACTGTAAAAAGTGGCAATCATACAAGACATATTAGAATACCAAAATTTTTTTTACCAGCTTGTTAATATCTTGCCCACTTTCGTAAACAAAACACACGGAGAAAATGCAAGCTCGGCACAAAGTAAAACACGTATAATCAAACATTGATTGTAACAACTCAAATTATCTTTATCTATCGAGCGGTGGTGGCCAAGTGGTAAGGTCATTAAACTGGGGACCTGGAGGTCTCGGGTTTGAATCGTAGCATCGCTGTCCATCTCGCCCATTGCTGTATTTACCCAGACAGCCTCTGTATAGCCGCGGCACCCATTTTGGAAGTCGGTTGTACATTTGTATGGTCATTAAGTAAAAAAGAAAAAGATATTTACTTTCATTATATCAATCGGCCGGTTTCCTTTTTCACTAAACTTCCACGATAACTGTTCAGGGATAATGAAAGTTACTCTGGAAACCCTGGAAATGACCACTACCGTTTTGCAGTCGTAGCAGGAAAGAAACAAACGAGATCCCCCACAATTGCGCCCGAAACCACTGCTAGATCCCACATCCCTAAACAACCCACAGTTGGAAGATACCAACACACTCCCACCGAAGGACCAAAGTACCAGAGCGTCCCCCTCAGGAAAAAGCGATCGTTAGCGGATCGCGATGTAGTCGACAAAGATACCACTTCTCAAGAAATGGAATTCCTACCTCACGCTACCTGAACTATTNACAGCACACAAGGATATTTCAGTAAATTTTCCGAATTCAAGTGGCGATTTTAATATGCTCACTGGAATACCATTGGTGTTACCGAAGCGTGGCCATCGGTTTCAAGTATTGATTCCGAACTCTTTTAACCAAATATGTCTGCTAGAATGCGATCATACCACACGTGGCGGTGTTCTACTTTATGTTCACAGCGATTTTCAGTGCGAGGTAATCAACCCCACGGTTTCGGCTCCTGAGACACTTTGATGTAAGTTACGACTGACCGAATGCGAGCTGCCTTTGCTGATGACGCGCCTTCAAGAAGCACTGTATTCCCAAATGACAAGCCTCAGAGGCATGGAATCCGATGCGAGTTAGANGCAACAACTGCAGTGGAAGCCTTTATTGAACTGGTCAAAGGGCTACCCGCTTCGGCATCGTCGCGCTATTTCATCAAATGGTTTAAGCGCATGGAACTGTGTACATGAACGCTGGTGGAGCATACTTGGAGAAAATGTAAAGCTTATTTTTTTGTCACAAACAAGATATTTTGTGCATACGAAGCCGCATTACTCAGCCCTCGCATCCCGTGTGACACTTGTTGAAATAAAATAGACGGAAGACGTGTATAATGATGCGATAATATTTTACAGACAGGGGGAGGGGTCAGTGAAATACAATGGACGTCGATAATTCAGATGAAGGGACGACAAAGGAGTTGGAGGAACATTAAAAAAACACGTACATTGACCAGATGAATCTGTCTAATCTGGCAATAAAGAACAATATCATGTGTGGCTGAGTGGATTCACAACCAGGGAGAGGGGTTGGACTAAAATGACACGTGAATGAAATCCTCGCATTATTGTTCAAAAGTATACTCTGAATTCCAATCACGACGGAAAATATCAACCAGTTGATCCCGAATCGATTTATGCGGGATACCGGCTTCCTCATCGGGCCTTGGTAGGGACCGATCCTCTTCCACCACGAACGCCGCGCCACCGGTATACAGGAAATAGTCACCGGACCAGTTGGATGTCCCTATTGAATAGAGATGAGAAGATCAAGGGTGGAATTGCATATACAGTCAAAATTATTACTAATGTACAAATAAACTTAGCAAAATGTATGTGGTGCAATGCAAGGGATAAAATGTTCATAAGAGGTGGTATCGAAGTCGACTCAATCGATCAGATCAGCAGTAAGTAGAACCAATCAATTCAAAACAAACCAACCAAGAAACACCTCGAGAACCAACCGTTTTCGTTTTCGGTCGTCATACATTGTCTCCGCCCCCATCGACATTTGTCAGGGATCACCGCGGACATTGTAAACTCTCACGCATCGATCGTATGTTGTGCATGAACGAGAAAGAATAATATTCACGGCAATTCGAATGAGTAACTTTTTGCTATTTTGTTTTCTTACACACACTTGTGAGGGGTGAACAACAGACATGGGGGGATGGACCACCATATTCGTGAAGACCTACTTGCTGTTCAACGGTGGAAACCAGTAACTTAAGCCCAAGGAGTTGGAGTGCCGAATCGCAAAGACCCCACTATGTGAAGCATGCTATTGAACCGGATGACAGCAAAGCTGCCCACCACCAAAGTTGGGTGGCGGTGGTGAGGCTCAAACCTCGAACCATAGCGACTAAACCATTGATCCACTACCACCACTAGGCGGTGGGTATTTTTCAATTGGTGAAAGCGGACAGTTGGACGTTATCAGTACCGAGTTTGGAAGTGGACGGCTAAAATGCATGTTATCAGCGACGTATACATGGAATTAAAGCGCTATTCATTTTTCTTTTGATCAACCTTGTTCCTTGAACCGGTTCTTTCCCCAGTTAATAGTGCTTTGCTAAGAGAGTCTCTTAAGGTGGTTACCGATAGTTTTCCTTTCAACATTACCTGGCAGTTCAATATGACATTTATTTCTGGTTGAAATATTGTATATAACTCGCAAAAGCTTCAATACAATACAATACAACATAGTGCATGAGAGTAATTGGAGATTTGATTCAATTCCAAAGGGGAAATTTGTCGATTATTTAGCAAATAAAGCGTGAACTGAATAGCTGGGAAGCACTGTACAGCTGTTTTAACCTGATTGAGTCTCATCAGCGGGGGTTGACTCTATCAACCCAACTGGGAATCGCGAACCCGGGACCTCATAGGCAGAACGCAATACAATATTGTTGCCGGTGGACCGACCTAAAAGTTCGTATACTTCAAAATAACTGAATCCACAATTCCGTAAAGTACTCAACGTATTGCATAACGCGTCAACATTTTAGACCTAACTGGGTTTTGGCCATCTGTTCTCCAGTCTTTTGTACGCACATGCACACGCACGTAATCGGAAGATATACGCCCCAAATACCCAATTTCCAAATAAACCAAAAAAGCGCATAGGAATGCCTAAAGGACATCGCTTCAAAATAAGCGGATGAGCACAACTGTGAGACGTACCGATATAGGCTGTCTTGTCAGTTACCATATACTTGTTGTGGTTCACTCGAGCATGAGGAATCAGTTGCTGTTCCCTTGTGAACGAGGGCACGACAAAGAAGCGCTGAAAACAAAAGGGGAATGAGACTGTCAGTATGTGGTATTCTACTATACTATATGATTTTGTGAGTAGTCAAAACCTAAACAGCGTTGTGTCGTGCGGGGCAGTACACGGGGTTGTTGTGCAGAAGCCTGACGGTGGAACTAAACGGTTGGTACGAACAGAAACACAGCTTGTTCAGTTCCAAGTGCGATCACCGCGAAGCATCAGGGGCTATTGATTTACAAGTAAGGTACTACGGTAACAGGGAGTAAGACAATGATCGATCGAGTAAATTTGAAAACTACTCTTCATACGGCAATTATCTTCAGCAATCAACTTTGAGCGATTTTGTTCAATCAGTTTGCAACGTGACTCGTACATAATTGATTACTTCGTAATCATTAGCCGAACACACGTGTGATAAACCTAATCCTTTCTATGGTTCATAGCTTCTGGAATTCGATTGAATAGGGATATAGGTCATTCCATGGACCATCGGAATCGTCATATCAGATGTCACTCGAATTTTCCCTGACGGAAGTTGATTCAGAAGAATCTTGTGCCAGAGTAATCCTCGGATAGCCTAAAGCCTAAGCAGCTAAATATAAACGGGCACCAATCAATATAATTGATGAGAGGCTCATAAGTGCGGTTTGTGGTTCCTACAGCTCCGTCATAGTAGAATCATGTGTTTTGTCGAATGCCGAGTTTATCCAAAACTGACGCAATAAAAGTTGCCAGGAGTTTTTGTATGAAATATCTGAAGTGTTTAATATCGTAGTCAAGTAAAGCCTTTGTCCACCAGTGATGTTTCCATCGAAGGGTCGAAGACGAATAAGCACTTATGTAACATTTCTAATTTCAAATATTTTGACTCAAAAACTTGAAACGATAAAAGGGAAAGAACAAACTAATTCAAGCATTTTAAAAGAATATTAAATCAAATTAAAGTACAATATGTGCCTCATCATTGGAACGCATAAGTACTGTAAAGAGAAACAGCCCCACGCTAGTTGCCCATAACCATGATTATCACTGGAGTAAAGAGATTAGTTACGTCTACACCTATAGCCGACGAATAAGGTACGGCTGGGACCTCAAATGATG